AAATCCGAGTTTGACTGTCAATAAGCAGATGATTTCTAAAATCCATCTGAGCACGGCCATGCATTTTCATAGTCTCGCTCTTCGAGAGGCCTTGTAAACAACAAGACATGTTCCCTATTGTTAGTAGGGGGACATTTCCAGTCTTGTAATGTAGCTTCTCTTACTAAGAGGACCTAGCCGCCTGATATCTGTCGTTATAACCCCCAGTTACGGCAGACGTTTGGCGGATACCAAAGCGGACTAGTACTCAAACAAGAGACCTCCCACTACTCGTGGTCAAGGAAAAGAGTTCCGATAGTAATAATAAGAAAAATACTTATGACGATTTTAAATCTCTTAAAGTATTCACATAGGTCGATCCAGTATGGTTCTAAACCAATACCTGTGCAAATGATTTATATCCTCATAGCACAAGAAACGGCGCTATAAATCATACTACACACTAATCTCTAATGGTCATTAATCGTCCACAAAAATATGACCTTGGTTAGGGATAATTTTCGATTAAAATATTCAATGTTCACTTAATAGGTGTTTCTTTATCCAAGCCATGGACTTGATACCCTATTTTGAATATTTATTAAAATCGAATGGACTCATTATTTAATTCTAAACCACAATTAAATAGAGACGGAGTGAATTAAATTACATGAAAAATTTTAATTACTCCAAAAACTGAATGGTTCTTCATAGTGCTTTACATTAACATTGTCCAAAATTTAATTAAAACACTATAATATGGAAATCAAAGCCACTTCGCGACATGCTTGATTCCCATTGCCTCAATGTGTTTGTTGTGCTTCACTTGAGACAAGGGTTTAGTAAGTGGATCGGCTACATTGTCATCCGTTCCCACTTTGCAAATTCTGATTTCACCCACTGTCTTCCATTCTTGAATCATGTGAAATCGCCTCTTGACATGTTTGACCTTCTGATGTTCTCGTGGCTCTCTAGCCTGAGCAATAGCTCCATTGTTGTCACAATGGAGGTCTATTGGACCCTTGATGGAGGGTAAAACACCAATTTCATCAATGAACTTGCGAATCTAAACTGCTTCCTTGGCTGCCTCAGACGCTGCCAAGTACTCGACTTCAGTTGTAGAATCAGCGGTTGTGCTTTGCTTTGCACTCTTCCAACTAAACGCTCCTCCATTAAGACAAAATATGTATCCGGATTGTGACTTGGAGTCGTCTCTGTATGTCTGGAAGCTTGCGTTGGTATATCCCTCAACAACAAATTCATCTTTACCGCCATAGACCAGGAATTTATCCTTTTTCTTTTTCAGGTACTTCAGAATATTCTTGGCCGCAGTCCAATGCGCCTCTCCTGGGTTTCATTGGTATCGGCTCGTAGCACTCAAGGCATACGATACATTCGGCCTCGTACATATCATGGCATACATGATCGATCCAATAAGCTAAGCATATGGAATACAACTCATCCTTTCTCGCTTATCAGGTGTCTTTGGACACTGCTTCTTGCTTAAGGTTATGCCATGTGACATGGGTTGGTGCCCTCTCTTGGCTCCTTCCATTTGGAATCGAGCTAGTACCTTATCGATGTAAGTACTTGACTCATTCCCATCATCCTCTTTGATCTATCCCTATAGATCTTGATGCCTAGTATGTACTGAGCCTCTCCCAAGTCTTTCATTGAAAAACATTTCCCAAGCCAAGCCTTTACAGACTCTAACAACGAAATGCTATTTCCAATGAGCAAAATGTCATTGACATATAAGACTAAGAAGGCGATGTCACTCCCACTGACCTTCTTGTAAACACAAGACTCATCTGGATTGTTGATAAAACTTGCATACCTTCTTAGGATTGTTCTGGTCGACAAAACCTTCAGGTTATGTCATGTACACATTTTCTTCCAAAATTCCATTGAGGAAGGCGATTTTGACCTCCATCTGCCATATTTCATAATTGTAATATGCCGCAATCGCTAGAAGAATTCGAACGGACTTAATCATAGCTACTGGAGAAAAGGTTTCATCATAATCAACGCCGTGAATTTTCCTGTAACCTTTTACTACCAGCCTTGCTTTGTAAATGAATACATTTCCATCTTTGTCGTTTTTCATCTTGAAAATCCATTTACATCCGATAGGTGTGTAACCTACGGGTAAATCAACTAAGTCCCATACTAGATTTTCAAACATGGAGTCCATTACGGATTTCATGGCCTCTTGCCATTTTGCAGAGTCGGGGCTCGTCATAGCTTGCTTGTAGGTTGCCGGCTCATCTCCATCCACTACTAGGATGTCCTGATCTTCGGTTAATACAACACTGAGATATCTGTCAGGTTGAGATCTTGGCCGAGTAGACCTACGTAGGGTGATGGACTGAGCATTTGCATTGTCGGTTTGACTTTGCATATTTTGACTTTGACCAATGTCAACAGATGCTTCGTGAGCACTTTGATTTTAAACTTGTCCTTGTTGCTCGTCCTCTCAAACTTTGTCGAGTTCGATTTTCTTCCCACTTGTCATTTTGGAGAGATGCTCCTTCTCCAAAAAGACACCATCACGAGCAACAAACACTTTGTTCTCAGATTTGTTGTATAAGTAATACCCTTTGGTTTCTTTTGGATAGCCCACAAAGTAAACCTTGTCAGATTTCGGATGAAGTTTGTCATAAATGAGTTTCTTGACATATGCTTCGTATCCCCAAATCTTGAGAAAAGACAACCTTGGAGGTTTATTTGTCCATAATTCATATGGAGTCTTTTCCACTGCCTTTGCTGGAGCACGATTCAGTGTAAGTGCCGCAGTTAAAAGTGCATGACCCTAGAAAGAGATTGGAAGTTCACTAAGACCCATAGTCGATCGGACCATGTCTAACAGGGTTTGATTCCTCCTTTCAAATACTCCATTCCATTAAGGAGTTCTTGGAGGTGTTAACTCTGAAAGTATTCCATGTTCTTTCAGATGGTCATCGAATTCTTGGCTCAAATATTCGCCACCTCGATCCGATCGAAGCTCTTTGATTTTCTTGCCGAGCTGGTTTTCAACTTCGTTCTGAAATTCCTCAAATTTATTAAACGATTCAGATTTGTGCGACATTAGATAGACATAGCCATATCTACTATAGTCGTCCGTGAAGGTTATGAAATACCGATAACCACTCCTTGCGGGTGTACTCATTGGCCCACATACATCGGTGTGTATTAGTCCCAACAAGTCACCGGCCCTTTCTCCCTACTTGGAGAATGGTTGCTTTATCATCTTGCCTAATAAACATCCTTCGCAAGTCTCAAAGGATTCTAAATCAAATGAGTCAAGAATACCTTCTTGAAGAAGCTTCTTGATGCGTTTGATGTTAATGTGGCCAAGACGACAGTGCCACAAGTAAGTTTGACTAGACGGTGTAGTCTTATCTTTCTTTGCATTGGTATCAAACATTTTGTCTAAAAACACGTGAAAGTGTCATTCCATAAATATATGCAAGACATCAAAACAAAAGTCTTGGTTGATGAAAACGACGTCCAACGTCGGAAATACATCAAAAGTTTGGTGCACAAAACTAAATAAGTTCTACTTCTTTAGACAAAACATGAGAATACAAGTTTTCTTGGATAGATCACCTTCATCCTACTTGTGTACTCATTTCCACATGAAAAAGCACCGCTCATTTGGTTCCTAAAAAAGGAGTGTATTGTGAGTCAATTTTCCGATATCTAATACCTTTTAAAATTGCTTATATTCAAGTGTTTAAGATGATACCTGAGGTTGAGGTTACTTTTCCTTTCGCCTCATCATCCAGATACTTGCTGCATTCTCTTTTGTAGTGTCCGGGGTTACCACAATAGAAGCAGCGCATCTTCCTCTTGTCTTTGAACTCCTTCTTCCTAGGTCTAAGGGTAAAGTTAGCCTTCTTGCAAGAATAGGTCTTTTGGAGCTCTTGGATGACTTCCCTTAAGGATAGCAGCTCGTGACCTGCTGTTGCGTCAACCATGGCATCGATGTGAGGTAAAGGGAACGGGTCCTTTGGGCATGCCTTGTTAATATCTAAGAAGTCAATATAGATTCGCCATTTTCCGTTCTTTTTTCTTACTACCACCACGTTAGCGAGCCATTCTGGGTACTTCACCTCTCTGATCTTCCCTGTCTTCAATAGTTTTTGAATTTCCTCATTGATGATCTTGTTCCTTTCTGGCGCAAATTTCCTTCACTTTTGCTTTACTGGTGTATGCATTGGGTCTACGTTCAGTTTGTGAGTGATCACATCTGGGGAGATGCCTTTCATGTCTTCATGGGTCCAAGCGAACGCATCTTTTTCTTCTTCCAATAACTCATAAATTTGCTTACGAAGATGTGAATTAAATTCTGATCCTATTCTGACCTTTTAATCTGGATGGTTAGGGTTCAACTGGACTTCCGTGGCTTCTTGTTCTTCTAATATGCTCAATTTCTCTTGGCCCAACTGACCCTTTGATTGCTATGCTGAACTCTTTTCTGTAGATGTTGCTTTTAGTGCAATCTTGTAACATTCCTTGGCTTCCTTAGGATCTCCTCTGATTTCTTGGATACTCCACCTGGTAGGGAATTTGATGATTTGATGGTATGTGGAGGGGATGGCCTTCATCTTATGTATCCATGTTCTGCCTAGGATTATATTTTATGATGACAAAGTGTCAATCACCAGGAACTTGACTTGTAAGTTGACTCCTTTCGCATAGGTGGCTAATGTTATTTCTCCACTTGTTTTCTTGGTTTCCCCGCTGAATCCTACTAGCATTGTTGACTTATTGATGATGTTCTTCTCGTTGATGTTCATATGTTTCAGGGTATCAAGCATGATGATGTTTGCAGAGCTTCCATTATCAACAAGGATTCGCTTGATCATACAATTTCCAACTGGGAGTGAAATCACTAGACCATCATGATGACCTTCTATTGCATCGCTCTCTTCAAACATGATGGAAATGTCCTCTTTTGATTTTTCCCTTCAGTCGGGCTGATCTTTATTGCTTTCCTTCGCATGCCGCTTCGCTGCTTAATATGTTAAGCCGTATATTTCTGACCCTCCTGATATGAAACAAATGGTTTTGACGATTGGCTGAGGAGGTGGGGGGCCTCCTTGCTTTGATTCTCTTTCCTTCCCCGGAGCTTTGGATCTATCTGACAGAAGTTCTTTGAGATATCCTTTCTTCAGCTGGTAAGCAACCTCTTTGAAGAGCGCGACACATTCATCGGTTGTATGGCCAATATCTGAATGGAAATCGTACCATCTTGACGGATCTTTCTTTTCTCCAGGTCTGTCACTCTTTCTAGGCCACTGCACGGTGTCTCCCATCTTGTTCAGGGTCCTAATTACTCCTGCAGGGTTAACATTAACACAATACTGAAACAATTTAGGTGGGAGTTCAGGATCTTCCCTCCAGTCTGAGAATTCTTCTTTAACAGCATTGATTGATCCTTCATCAAAGCGGGAGCGCTGATACAGTTTGAATCGATGGTCTCTCCTGGGAAAATTGTTGTTCCTTCTTGACTAGCGATCTGGCTCCGGGGTCTTTCTTGCGTAGACATCTTCTTCAAACCTGACGTGAGCCATAGCTTTGGCTTGTACGTCCTCGAAGGTCGTGCAGGGATATTTGGTCAACTCTTTGTAGAGCTCACTATGGTCTAGCAACCCTCTTCTGAATGCTTCCATTGTTGTAGGAACATCGCATTTGTGTATCCCAATCTTCTCCCTGTTGAACCTGTTAAGATAGTCTCTCAAGGATTCTCTGTGTCTTTGCACAACACGGTACAGATCTGAGGAATGCTTTTCGATTTTTCTACTACTAGCAAATTGAATCTTGAATAGATTCACCATTCCTGCAAAAGATCGAATTGTCCAATTATCTAAATTAATGAACCAAGTTAGGGCTGGACCTGACAATGTGGCTCCAAAGCCTTTGCACATGATAGCCTCTCTGATATCTCTAGGGATTGAGCTTGTCATAATCTTCTGCTTGTAGAGGGACACGTGCTCATCAGGGTCTGCTGTTCCGTCGTACATAGTCATGTTGGGCGTGCTAAACCTCTTTGGCACTTCTACCATGGCGATCTCTTCTGAGAAAGGAGACTTTATATATCCATCCGCTGCCTCTTCTTCCATGGGCTTTGACACTCCAGGGATTTTGCGATCTTGGCCTCAAATGCCTTTAGGTATTCCTTAACCACCTTCTCTATTTTTCCCTGCTCAGTTCCTTCTTGTCTATCTTTCTTGAGAGTTCCTGCATCCAGAGAATCTAGTTCTAGGGGAATTTCCTTGTTGTTAGATCATTTTCCCCGTTAGGGGTGTGGAAGGTTCCAGACATATCAAGCTGCATGGCTATACTTTCGGTGCTTTTTCTGGTGTTAACGGTTTTCGATGCAAGTGATTGTATTTGGCTACGGAAGGCTTCATTTTGTTTGGTTAAGCTGGTGAGTTTGGCTTCGGTTTGGACCTTTTGGGCCAACAATGTTTCGATTTGGTTTTTCTGTTGGTCTATGGTTTGATGGAATGCGTTCATTCATTCATTGATTTCGGCAATGGTAAAGGGTACTGGTTGTCCACTCATGGTGATTGTCTCGGATTTTGATGAATTGGTAGGTTAATTGATTATCAGCCCCACGGTGGGCGCCAAATTGTTTAGGCAAATCTCAGCTGGGACATCTAAGAATCTGCTAGGTTTTGAGGGGTAATAACAATCATTCCACCAATAATATACAAAGCAATTAAGAATGATAATAAAGCATTAAATAACTAATAAGTAGCAATAAGTGTTCGATAAGATCAAAGAGATTGAGTTCAGAGATACAATACTGAATAAGGACAGGCCTCCTTGTTCAGCAGGGACACAGATCTGTAGATAGAAGTAGAGTAACAGCTTATATTGAATTATGTGCGAGCGTACGTGAATGTTATAATGTCTAACTCTTCCTTTTTATACCTAGGGATTCCTAGGGTTACATAGATATTCAGAATATATTCGAAATATTGGGGATCTTCTTCATTTATTCTGTTCCCTGTTCTGTAGGTGTATTCTTGGCAAGTATCTTCTTGATTGATACTCTTGATCCTGCTTTTCTTGTGTGTTCCAATCAAGTCGTTTTGTCTATTTTGCGCAATTCTTTGATCTTGGATTGGTTCCCTACGTATACTGGGTTGTATATTAATACGGCCCAAAAAATTGTACATATTCTTTCCTAATCCACCTAATTAATTAAGTAAGAACAATGTGATTAATTAATCAAGGGTCCACCTAATTAACTAAACTCCACACGAACGACGAGCCTAGAGTGCACCAAGGTAACAAGTTTTTGCAAGGACAAATGTTTAGTACACGAAAAGATAAGATAAGCAACCTAAAAAGCTGATTTGACTGTTAAATCGCAAGTGCGTGTTAGAGAAACCCTAGCAACTTAGCAAGGCACATCTTGAATAACAGAAGAGGGAAGTAGGATCCCGCCAATAAGAAGGACTATATTAGATGGCACATAAAAGAGACAAGGAAGAATTGTCACATTTTTTAATTTTCAAAACAAATGATCAATAGTCAAATCCAGCTTTTAAATATTCGAAATGTCCAAATTAAGCATAGTAATAAAACCTAGAAGCGCACCAAGTATCAAAGCGAAATAGAGCACTAGTACAGTAGTACCATTATAAACTTTCCATATATGGCCTTGAAATAGGAGGGGATTAATTTAATGATTCTTTTTTCCAAATCCAAGAGTCCCTATTTGGTTGAGGAGTACAGTCAAAAAAAGATTTATGAGCTATATATTTAGAACATAGTGACAAAACAAATCCATGGTCTATTTGGGTAAGAGATTATATTAAAGTTTTATGTTAATTTTTAAGAGTTTTTTTAAGGATGGGTCAATCTTTGGCTTATAAGGGTCTATTATATGAAAAGGGTCTATAAGACAAAAATGATACAATTATTCTGTGTATGTTTAGGGTAAAAATATTACCCTCTCCACATGGTCTAATAAGATGATAACACATGTCCTAATCAATGACTGCCGCATGGTACCCAGCTCAACTAAAACAAAAAGATATTGATGAGTGTCATTTATGGCACTCAGAGGGTAGTCTTTTAAGACGTTTTCATCCTATTTTTCATAGTTTTCTTTTATCATTTCGGTCTTTTCTCCTTTAGTTTCTCTATTTCTTCTTTCATCGTGTTTTACTTTCCTTTATGTGGTTTTCTTCGTGTTTCCCTTTTATACGACTCTTTTTCTCTTCTATTCTCTCTTTGGTTACTTTTGTTGGTGCTTAAGGAGTTGGCTTCGCAAAGGAGTCAAGAAGAGAAAAAAGGGATAAGCAAAGAAGAATCAAGGTCCTTAGAGAGGGCACGAAAAGGGCGCTCTACATTTTCCAATTGCCGCGGGCGCAGGCCTTGAGGGCTGCGGGCGCGGATAAAATGCAGAAAATTGATGATTTTTGGCAGGAACTCTTTGCGCCCTAGCCGCGCTCTAGCCATGACGCGGAGATTCTTGAGAGACCGCTCCCTTTGGAGAGACCGCAGCCCCCTGTTTACCATTGGAAGCAGGGCATGTGTCGCGCCCTTAGCCGCGGGAGCGAGGGTCTTTGACGCGGGCGCGGGTCTTGCCTAGATTTCCCGCCGAGTTAGTTATGGGTTCTGTACCAATTTCTCCGCGCCCGCGGGATGTTCTTGGAGAGGGCACAGCCGATCAGTTTTTCTTCTTTGTCTATAAATACTCTTGTAATTCCTTTTGAAGGCCAACTTTTAGATAATCTTTCATTTTCCTAGTTTTGTGAGAGAGAAAGTAGAGATTGGAATTATTGGATTTTGATTTGTATTACAACATTGCTTCAATCAAGTTTGGATTTCTTCTTCATATCAATGAAAGTTTGTGAGATTTCTCTCCTTTGAATTTACATCATTTGCAATTTTCTTCAATGCTTGAATGTTTTATTTGGATTTTGATGTAAGTTTGAGAATATGTTGATTGATTGATTTTCCTTTTGATTTAGGTTGAAATGAATATGTTTGTGATTGAATTTGTTTTGTCTTTCAATTTCACCATGATTAGTTAGTAGATTAGTTGCTAGGAAGAAGGAGAAGCATGCTTGATTGATTATTTTTGCTAGTTGATGATCATTGATAGATTGAATTTTTGCAATTAAATTGGTTGACATAGTTGTGCATGTGATTAATTAGACTAGGAGTGATCAGCCTATAAGATTAATCTAGATTGCATTGCAAATTTGAATGACATGAACCCTTGATTTGATAATTGCTTTAATTGATTGAATTTGATTGTGATTCTCCTTGTTAGCCATTCATAGTGAACCCTAGCTTAGCTTATTGGAGATAGCCTTTGGATTCATTTGATTGCAACTATCGTTTGTCCCTTGTAATGTTTGAATCAATTGAGTGATCTATCAATTAGCATAATCATTGAGCATGCATGTGGAACCTATATCCCTAGTGTTTACCATATTGATTGAATTCTTTGATCTGTCTATCTTCTTGATGTTTTAGTTACCAACCTCAAACATTAATATTCTTCGATTTAGCTTGACAATAGACTACTGCATAGTTCCTACTCATTCCTTAGGGTTCGACCGTTGACTTACCACATACTTGTATAAGGTTTTTTAAGTGTTTATAAATTTAGTTAGACCAAGAAAGAATTAGATAATGACCTAGTCTTCTTCTTGTGAAAATGGCGCCGTTGCCGGGGAATGACATTGGTGCTTTGTTATAGTTGTTGAGTCTATTTCATTCTAAAAACAAAAAACAAAAAGATTTTCACTTTTAGGCTGCACTTGTAGTCGTGCTACTAATCATTTCTTTTGAAGTTGTATGCATAGAGCACGTGGTCATTCACTAGTGCCATTTGATCCGAAGATTGAGTGGACTATTACAAGATTAAGGGTTGCTAGGAAATCTTTGAGATCTAGCATTTCAAGTGAGGAAGAGCCATTACTAGAAGAACAAGCAAGGATGGGAGAGAATCCGAGAGTGGCATTGAAATAATTGGGGATTCCCGGTGCATATAGATTTTAGAGAGGAATTGCTCCACCTACAACACGGGCAAATGATTTTGAAATTAGACCGGCTATGATCACTTTGATAGAGAGGCAAAAATTTAGTAGGGCAAAGCATGAGAGCCCATTAAATAATCTCAAGGAGTTTAAAAAATAGTGTAATACTATCAAAGTGAACAGACTTTCCCAAGAATTCATCCGCCTCACGCTCTTTCCATTTTCCCTCATTGGGCGTGCCTTGGAGTGGCTAGACAAGGAGCTTTAACCGAATTCTCTAACGACATGGGACGTGGTTACAAAAGAATTTCTATCCCGCTTCTATCCACAAAAGAAAACGGCGGAGGCAAGAGCTTTAATTCTAGGTTTCAAACAAAAGCCAAGTGAGAGCCTATATGAAGTGTGGGAGAAATATAAGGAGTATCAAAAGGAGCACGTGTCCTAACACGGAATTCCAACCTATCAAATTTTTCAAATTTTCTATGGAGGCCTAAGTCCCTAAGGCAAGTCATGCCTTTATGGGGGAGATAGAGGTCCCATCATGAATAGGACGGAAGAAGAGGTGGTAGACATCATTGAGGATGTTGTCAGGTACAATAGAGATTGTCAAGATGGTGAGAGAGAATCAAGTAGCAAGAGTAGCTCTTCGGTGCACTCGGTTGATTATCTAAATGCAATCAACAATATCTCCTCACAAATAACTAACTTGGGGAAGGAAGTGATAGTAATCAAGGAATAATTGGAGAGTTCTTCTTCCCAAGCTCCAAGTCTTCCATCCCAATTTAATGGGAGAGGTACTCCTTCTAACTCTCATACCCCTCCTTCTTCTAGTAACATGCCTAGTGGTTGTTTGTTTTGTGATGTGTGTGGTTCATATGATCATGATGCTTGTAATTGCCCTCATGCTTTTTCGGATGGTAATGATGATTTTGATAACAATTAGAGTGAACATGTAAACTTTGTGTTAAACAATAATAATGTGCAAAGTTTTGATAATTAAAAGGGTCAATGGAATAGGAATTACCAAAACCATGGTAGTTTTGATAATTATAACCAAGGTGGTGGTTATAGGAACTAAGGGAACCAAGGTTCTCGAGGTAACTATAACAATC